CCAGAATTACAGGCATGCGCTACCACACCTGGCTGATTTTTTGATTTATTGTAGAGATGAGGTCTCGCTGCCCAGGCGGGTCTTGAACCCGTGGGCTCAGGCAATCCACTCACAGCCTCCCAAAAGCGCGGGATTACAGGCTGAGCCACCGAGCCCAGCTATCCAATTTAATAATTATAAATTATGATTCATATCAGAGTGTTTCAACCTTTTTTTGGTTACTCTCCCCCTAAAGAGCCTTTTTTAGACATTTTCCCCTTAATTCCTCCACCGTCTCTTGAAACTTTAATACCACGCATATGCATGCCTTAATCTCCCCTCTGGGACCTGGTCACAATGACACAGCTCTGTCATTTGTAGAGGTGCATGCCTCTCACCGTAGCAGGTGTCCTGTGGCCACCCCCAGGCGCCTCCCTGCGTGCCCCTCCCAGCCACCCCTGCAGCCCTGCGGTGGGCTTACCCGGCGGTAGTCATCCACGTGCTGCAACTGGCTCTCCTGGCAGATGCACAGGTTCAGAAAGTTCTGCCACTCCATCTTCAGGGCCTCCTGGTGGGCCTGGGGACAGCAGCAGGAGCCCTCGGACCACGCCCTGCCCCTCCGGCTGTGCGTCGACCCGTCCCTCCGCCCCTCTCTCTCTGTCCCCATCCTCCCTGGAGCTTCCCAGGAAATCAGTCCCTGAGGGAGGGAGCCTCTGGGGCACACCTGGATGGGCCCCACTGCGGGGTGCCTGAGTTCCACCATGCGCTCGCCATCGTCCTCCAGCTGGTTCACACTCTGCTCCTGGCTCAGCAGCTCGTGCTGCTTGAAGTGCTGGGGGCAGGTCGAGTGGGGGAGCCGCCGTGAGGACCAGGATGGCCCTGGCCACCCCTCCCATCCGCCCTGTCCCCCGCGGACCTCGTACTCCCGCCGCACACCCGCGGGATCGGCCATGAGGTCGCTCCAGTCCTGCTGCAGGATGCGGCGCTGCTGCTCGGCCAGGGCGCTCAGCTGCCGCGTGCAGCCCTGCAGGTGCGTGTATAAGCTGCCCAGGCTCTGCCCGCGCCATGAGGCCGCCTTCTGTGCTCGAGACCAGCCCCGGCCCAGAGGTGGGGAGAGACAAGGGGGTGGCCAGAGGCGCCATCAGGACATGCTTAGGAACACCATCCCCATCCAGGTGGCCACCGCCCGCCCACCCTGACGCCCCCTGACCCTCCCAGCCGGGTCCTCCCCGCTGCTCACCAGGAGGTCCCGGTACTGGCTCCGGATGGCACCCGCATCCTGCCTCGACCAAGGGGAGAAACACAGGCCCGTGAGAGGCGCGGTGCAGGGAGATAGCACCTACGATCTGGGCCAGCTGTGCCCCATCCACCCCTCTCCCCAGGGCCTTGCGGATCTAGCACCATAAGGTAGAAACGAGCTGGGCTTGGCCGGGTGCGAGGCGAGGATGGCTCACCCACCGGCCCCACGAGGTTCCGCAACTGCTGCCCGTAGGCATCGATCTCCTTCTGCAGGATGTTGTGCTCGGCAACCTGCTGCTCCAGCTCTGCCATGCCCGGCCCGTACTGGCCCCCGCAGACCTGCTTCTGCAGAAGAGCCAGCGGCTCAGCTCCGCGCCCCCGGACCCGGCCGGGAGAGTCGGAATACCCCACAGTGTCTCGCACCCAGAGAAGCGGAGTTGGCCCTCTGGGATCAGCCAAGAAGCAGCCTGGGTGAGTGACTGCAGCTCACCAGGGGTCCTGTCATTCTGACACCCTGGTGTCACTGTGACGGCCGTCCCTGAATCCCACTGTTCCTGGGACTCAGGGCTCAGCCCCAGCCTCAGCACCACCTGTTCAGACACCCCCAGTCGCCCTGCTCCACCCAGGCCCTTCCCCAGTATCTCTCCATTGTCATCACGGCACCCCTGTGTTGTGGCGTCAAAGCACAACTCCTGTGGCCTGGATCCACCCACCTGCGCAGAAAACCCTACTTCCATCACACCCCAGACTTCCTTCCAGCAGAAGCCTTTGCTCCTTCCTTCTGGAATACCCTCTCCTCACCACTTCATCCTGACCCAACTGAGCCATCTCGCCTCTTGCTTCATGTGCCTCTTCCTGCAGGAAGTCTTCCCTGACTGCCCTGTCTGCTCTGCTGACTCCCTTCCCAGACCCCTGAACCATCCCCAGCAGTCAGGTTCTGGATGAAATGCAGTTCTGGGTCACTCTGATTGTGCTGGAGTCGGACTCTGAACTCCTTGAGGGCCTCTCGGACATGGGGGTGCCCCTGACCTGTTTCTGCTCCAGCACGCGTGCCCAGTCAACCCTGGGCCCTACGTCAGGCGGCAGCACCATCTTCTCGTACAGGGCGCGGTACTCGGCACATTCCTGGGTCACCCGCTCATGCAGCTGCTTGATACTGCCAAGGGGGTGGCCGGCAGGTCAGGGCTGGGCCTGGGTCTTCCCCTGGGACCCGCAGCACCCCTGTCCGGGCGCCCAGCCCCCGCCGCAGCCCCACTCACTCCTTCTCGATCTCCTCGGCCTGTGGGTGCTTGAGCCGCCGGGCCTTGTCCACGTCCAGGAAGAGATCCTTGAGCAGCACCTCGGCCTCTTTCAGGCTGCGGCCCGTCTCCTGCTGATGCTGCAGGGCCTGGCTCTGCTCGCTGTTCAGCCGGTCCTGGGGGATGGACGGGGAGTCTCACCAGGGCCCGGGCCACCACGCCCTCAATGTCCTGTCACTGCGGGCCCATGCTCTACCTTGAGACCCTGGCTACGCTGGCCAACCTCAGGGCCTGCATCGGGCAGAGGGTCAGGCCCAGGGCGTCTGCAGGGCTGGCGGCAAAGACACAAGGAGAGTCCTGGGCCAAGTTGGGAGCCTAACAAAGAAGGAAGCCAGCTGGGCGCAGTGGCTCACGCCTGTCATCCCAGCACTTTGGGAGGCTGAGGGGGGAGGATTGCTTGAGCCCAGGAGTTCGAGACCAGCCTGGGCAACATAGTGAGACCTCACCTCTGCAAAACATAAAAAAGTTAGCCGGGCCGGGCTCGGTGGCTCAGCCTGTAATCCCTTGCTTGGGGAGGCTGAGGTGAGTGGATTGCCTGAGCCCTTGGATTCGAGACCCGCCTGGGCAACTCAGCGAGACCTCATCTCTACAATAAATCAAAAATTAGCCGGGCGTGTTAGCGCGTGCCTGTAGTTCCAGCTACTTGGAAGGCTGAGGCGGAAGGATCGCCGGAGCCCAGCAAGTCGAGGCTGTGGTGGCTGGGAGCGGCCACTGCACTCCAGTCTGGGCGACAGAGTGAGCCTCCAACTCAAAAAAAAAAAAAGTTAGCCGGGCATGGTGGCACATATGCCTGTAGTCTCAGCTACTCTGGAGGTTGAGGCGGAAGGGTCTCCTGAGCATAAGAGGTTGAGGTTGTGGTGAACCACGATCGTGCCACTGCACTCCAGCCTGGGCAGCAGAGTGAGACCCCAACCCCCCCAAAAAAGAAGCAGCCAAGCCCTGTCTACCCCTGTGTGTTTGGGAGTGGGCACTAGTGCAGGACGAGGGGCATCTGTCTCGTTTTCCCCATCACCAGCGGGCACCCAGGGACCCCCGGGTATTGCAAGAGGCCTCCTGTGCCACGCAGCCCGCCCCACACCCTGCCACCTGCTGCCTGGGCCTCACCTGCTGCAGCCTCTTCTGGGTCTCCAGGATGTCCCGCTCCACCTGGTCGGCGTTGGCTTGCATTCGGGAGATGAGCAGAGCCAGTTCCTGGGTGGCAGCCCTGGCGGGTGGTGTGGACAGACGGCAGCATGGTGGGAGGGGCTCCACTGTGCCCCACCCAGGGAGGGGTTCCCCTGCCTCCCTCTACCCCGCCCTGCCCTATAGCCAGGTTCACTGCCCAGAACAGGCGTCCATGGCCAGGGCGATCTGGGGGCTTTCTCTGCAGGAGACCCTGTCGATACCCAGCCCTGTCCCCCACATGAGGGCTCAGAAGGCGAGGCTCCCAGGTGTGTGGGGGGATGGGGAGCGAGCTCTGGCACCCCCGCCTCGGCCGGCTGTCCTGGCAGTGAGTTCCCGACCCCACCCTGCTGCCGCCCGCTTCCTCAGGTCGGCAGGTCGGTGTTGGGCAGCCCAGGGAGCCAGGGAATCCCCAGCTCAGCTGCTAATACCTGAGACAGCCTGGCTGGGCCCTGGAAGGGGCAGCTGAGTGGGCTGGGGACGGAGGGCCATCAGCATGTCCCCCACCTCAGCTTCTTCCCACTCCAGCCCTGTCTCCCCGGCCACTCTCGCCCCTGCCTGGAGACTCTGCCAGTGTCCAGGCTTCAGCCACCATCTGGAAGAGCCACACAGTGTCGGGACAAGGGGGCCAAGAGATGACTGGGGCACCCTAACATTCTCCAGATTTGAGGGTTAAAGCTGAGACTGGAATCTGACTTGTCCTGAGACACATAGTTGACAAGAGGGTAAGCCTGGCTTGCCCTCCCGGGTTCTCTTCCATGCATCCATCCAGCAGCCTCAGGAGAGCACCTGCTGTGTGCATTCACCCAGCAGCCTCTAATGGAGCACCCACTGTATGCCTGCACTCACTCTAGAGATCAGAGGGTCAAGGAGACCTTTAAAAAGTGCAGAGTGGTCCAATTCTCCTGAGCATAGCACCCTGTAGGGTCACGGTCCTGGAGAAGGGGAAGCCCTCACTGAGCTGGGCCTTGAACCAGAGGGTCACAGGATGGGCCCCCCAGGCAGAGGGCAGTGCTGGTGAAGGCATAAAACTCTGAAAGAACTCTACAGCCAAGACGGCCTGGGGTTGATCCTTCTCCATCACTACTGCCGTGTGACCATGGGCAAGTTACGCAATCTCTCTGTGCCTGAGGGGCCTCACTTGTGAAGTAGTTTCTTTTTGAGTCGGAGTCTCACTCTGTCGTCCAGACTGGAGTGCAGTGGCCACTCTTGGCCACCACAGCCTCGACCTGCTGGGCTCCGGCGATCCTTCCTCCTCAGCCTTCCAAGTAGCTGGAACTACAGGCATGCGCTACCACGCCCGGCTGATTTTTGATTTATTGTGGAGATGAGGTCTCTCCAAGTTGCCCAGGCGGGTCTCAAACCCGCGGGCTTAGGCAATCCACTCACCTCAGCCTCCCAAAGCGCAGGATTACAGGCTGAGCCACCGAGCCCGGCGTGAAGTGGGTTTTAATAATAATATCTACCCCCAAAGGGTTAATGTGGGCATTGATCAAATTAATCCATCTGAAGCATCCAGGGTAGAGCCTGGTGCAGAGTCAGCACCCAGCTCGTGTGAGTTTATACTCCACAAGAGGGTAAGCATCTTTTTTTTTTTTTCCGAGTTGGAGTCTCACTCTGTCGCCCAGACTGGAGTGCAGTGACTGCTCCCGGCCACCGTAGCCTCGACCTGCTGGGTTCCAGCGATCCTTCTGCCTCAGCCTTCCAAATAACTGGAACTACAGGTGCGCGCTACCACACTCGGCTAGTTTTTGATTTTATTGTAGAGACGAGGTCTTGCCAAGTTGCCCAGGCGGGTCTCAAACCCACGGGCTCAGGCAATCCTCTCGCCTGGCCTCCCGAAGTGCTAGGATTATAGGCTGAGCCACCGAGCCCGGCTGAGGGTAAGCATCTTGAAGGCAGGGATCTGTCGCTTCTGTCTGCAGCAGCATCCCCAGTGGCTAGGACAGTCTTGGCACGCAGGAAGTGCTCAATAATTGTGTTGAATGAGTGGACTGCCCATGAGAGGGGTGAGGATCTCTCTTTGGGGGCTGTAGCCGGAGCCCTGGGAGCTGTGGGCCTCACACCCTGGGCACCTGGCCTCAGGCCGGCCTCCTGGGAGGGCTGCTCCCGCCAGGAGCTGAACACTCCACCCTGGGCTGGGCTCGGGTGCCCCAGGGAGGACAGGTCACCGCAGGGAGAGTCTTCACCGCTGTCTTTCCCGTCTGCCCAGATGCCCAGCCTCGATGTCTGTGGGTGCCTCGATCCCTATCGGGATAATGGATGCCCCCACCCCCATGGCAGCCCTTCATCTCTGCTCTTATCTCAACACCTCGGATCCAGGCGGGCAGCTGCCTTCTCCCGCAGAGGGTGCTGAAACCAGTGAGTGGAAGAGCCGGGCCAGGTCTGTCTGCAAGGAGCTGGCCCAAGGGAGGCGCACCCCCCCCCACAAACCCACCTGAGAAGGAACCCCGCCTCTCGATATTACTCAAGGCTGGGAATGAGCACTCTGGGGAAAGCTGTGGCTTAGGCGGGAGGCTGCGCGGTCCCCCTCCCTGCACTCAGGCGCCCCACCCCCACCTCTCAGTTCTCATGCCCACCCGCACCCAGGCCCCGAGGGGCACCCCAGCCAAGTGGAGCCTGGGGCACAGCCAGCCTCCAGCAGAGGAGGGTGGTGGCTCTGGGACCCGCCCAGCTCCTCTCCGGAAGAGGGGCCGCCATCTGTGACCCTCAGGCCCCTCTGGAGAATGTGGGGAGGCCCGGGCATCCCCTGCCTCCTGCCATGGCTGGAGTTGGCCTGGCCTGCGACTCCTGAGGCAGGGAGAGAGTCCACCCCTGGACCGTTTGGCCTCGGGACACCAAATGCCAGCGCTGAGCTGGCCCCGGGCTCTCGGCCTCTGCCGCCAGGTGCCTGAAGCACTTGGGCTTGGCACCACCCTCATCCCAGCTCCCCAGCTCCCCAGCCCCACTCACCGGCTGTGCTTGCTGGGGGAACCCTTGGGGGACCCCTTGGCCGGGGATCCCTTGGGGGACCCCTTGCCCTGGGAGCCTTTGCTCAGCCCCTTGAACATGGTCGTGGAGGCAGGTGCTGGCTCAGGTTGGCTCAGCACGCACAGGAGGGCAGGTGGGTGGCGGGCGGGCGTCCTTGCTGGCTGGTCAGCTGGGTCTGGTGAGGTGGGGCGGCCGGCACCGGGGAAGGCAGTTTCTGGGAGGCCCCTCCCTGCAGGTGAGGCCGCCCGCGAGCGGCCCGGCCCAGGGCTGCCGCGCATGCACCCACACCGCCTGCACTCTCGCCCGCTCCTGCACAACCAGTCTGGGAGGAAAGGGCACGGCCCAGAGGGCGGGGCCGAGCCTGCCTGACTCCCACGGAAGGTTTGGACTTGTCACACCCACACGCCCAGAGGGAGTGCGGCAGCGACCACACCCGGATGGGGAAATATCCAGGGTCAGGAGAGACGGGGCTGCAGACAGACTCGCACAGGCAGGCGCGGACTCGGAGATGGACCAGCCCTAGAGCTCGGGGTTAATAAACACCTCCAGCCGGCTCAGAGGCCCCGCTACCAGGCGGGGCCCCTCGCAAGAGAGGCGGGGTCATCCTGCCAGCCCAGGGCCTCGGTTCTGGGTTCCCTGTTCTCCACCTGCATGATGGGGCAGCCAGGGACATTTACCCCAGATAACTGGCACAAGGTGCATTTTCAGAAATGGGCACAACCCAGCTGGTTCCCCAGAGCCCAGCCCAGTAGTCCCTCAGGCTCCTCTTCCTGGCTGGCTCCAGAGCCTGCTGAAGCAGGATGCGCCTCACCAGGATATGCAGGTTCTCAGGAAGATCCAGGGATGCCAGGGTCCCCGCCGGGACCCTCCTCCCAGTGCCACCAGCACGGACCTTCAGTGCTGCCAGGCCCAGGACTCAACCATTGCACTTGGGTTTTCCCACTCGCCTCTCTTTCCCCTCTCTGGATACGGCCCCTGGTGGCTTTTATGATGTCAGATTGAGGGGTAGACGGTTTATTGCCTCTTCCATACACCAAGGGCCAGGGCTGTGCTTTTTTCCTTCTACGGGAGCCCTCAGGGTCTTCAAAAGGGGGTGGTGCCCCCTTTTCCAGGCTCATTTCACTGGTCCCGCTCAAGAAGCCTCTTCCATGGATGTGGAGTCACTCCCCAGATCTTACTGAAGCCCATGCAGTTTTGGTGGGTGGGGGGCAATGTGGACACGCTGGGGCTGGCACTCTGGGACACCCTGGCAGGACTGAGGACAGAACACATCCCTCGCAGCAGGAGAGCCAGGGCCCAGAGACTGGGAGACCAAGTACCAGGATCTGCGATTGGCCACATGCCCCAGTGGGACAGAAAAGACCTGCACCCCTTTTGGCTGCACCTGGTAGGAAATCCAGGAGTCCTCTATTCCTGAAAGGGGAGGGGCTGACCGTGACCCTGGGGGTGGGGAGGACAGCAGGGGCCTCTGCAGAACAAGTAGTAACATGAACACCAAGTGGCCTCCAACGCCCGGCTCCCAGCTGAGGGTGATTAGTGAGATGGCACCAGAGAGGCCACTCAGAGCCTCCCTCCCCGGCCCTGTCTCCACTTTATTCCTGGTGACAATTGTCTTCTAACCACTAGGCACACGCCTGCAATCAGCTCTCCTCAGAAGCCGGCCGTTTGTTAAAAGCCTTCCGGGGCCAGGGGCCGGCTCTTACCACTGGCTTCGTTTCACCGTTAAGACCGGCCCTTTCCTGGAAGTGGGGCCTGGGGGGAAGATCAGACCCCAGATCAGGAACAGCCAGGGGAGAGGGGCTTTGGGAGAGGGTGGGCAGAAAAAGGCAGCGAGGTTGAGGTCTGGAACATTTGAGCTTTGCCTCCTCTCTGCAGAATTCCTCCTGGACTTAAATGAGACTACAAGGGGCCCTCACACGCCCCAGAGATTAAGGGCTAACTGATTCACTGCAAGAAAAACAAGAGCTGACTTCCTGGCGTGACTGTGTAATGCCAGATCAAATCAGGCCCGGCTCCCCAGTTCGTCCCTGGCTCTGAGGAGACTTGTTACTGCGGAATACTCCTGCTCAAAAGGCGGCGACCTTGGCCTCCAAGAAGAAAACAGGAGACCGGGCAAGGATGGAGAGGCGTGGCTATCTGTGTGCCTCAGCTCTGGCCTCTCACCCTTTGGTGAGAGCAGAGTCATTCATTCAGAAGGCGGGGGTGGCCTCAATGTCCCCGCTGTGTGTGGCTGCTGAGTATTTGAAGGTGCCTGGTCTGAAATGAGATGGAATTCTAGTTGCATAATTCATACCCGACTTCAAGGACTTACTATGGAAAAAGAATATAAAAACATCTCATTGTTAATTTTTGGTATTGATTACATATTGAAATATGTTGGATATATTGAATTAAATGAGTGAGATATATTTTTGTTTTTAAATAAATTTTAATTTTTTTTTTGAGTAGGCGTCGTCCCACTCTGTCACCTTGGCTGGAGGGCAGAGGCACACTCATGGCTACCAAAGATTCTACCTGCTGGGATCAGGCAATCCTTCCACCTCATTCTTCCACGTAGCTGAAACTACAGGTGTATGCCATGACACCTAGCTTTTTTGTTTGCTCGTTTGTTTGTTTGTTTGTTTGGTAGACATGAGTTCTCACCAAGTTGCCCAGGCTGGTCTAGAACCCCTGGGTTCAGGCACCTTGGCCTCCCAAAGTGTGGGATTACAGGCGTGATCCACTGTGCCTGGCTACTTTTTTTTTTTCTTTTTTAACGAGGCTACCAGAAAATTTAGAATGACCGATGAGGCTTGCATGTGTGGATCACATTAAGATTCTTTAGGCCACCTAACTCCAGTCAGGATGGCCATCATTAATAAATCAAAAAACAACAGATGCTGGAGAGGATACAGAGGAAAGGGAATGCTTCTACACTGTTGGTGCGAGTGTGGAAAACAGTGTGGTGATTTCTAAAAGATCTAAAAATTGACCTTCCATACAACCCAGCAATCCCCCTTCTGGGAACATACCAGAGGTACTCAAATCATTCTATAAAAAAGATACCTGAGCACACGTGTTTATTGCAACACTGTTCACAATAATAAAAACATGGAACCAACCATGCTGTCCATTGAAAACAGACTACAGCCGGGCTTGGTGGCTCAGCCTGTAATCCCGCGCCTTTGGGAGGCTGAGGTGAGTGGATTGCCTGAGCCTGCGGGTTCTAGACCCACCCGGGCAACTTGGCGAGACCTCATC